TCACTAAAGGGTGGAGTTTAAATAGTCGGGGAAGTCTTCACTAAAAGGTTAGATTTTAACAAAAATGGAAGGAGAAGAGGTGGTGATACGCCGGGGAAATGCGTTTCAGGCAAAGGGAACAGGAGGGCCAAGGCACTGAGGCAGCCATGCAGACCGGTGTATTCAGGGAATGGCCAGGAACCGACGGTGGGGGAACAGAATGAGGGAGGCAGAAAGTACTGTGTGTGGATCGAGAAGATACGGCGGCTGGATTAGGGCCTCACCGGAAGGTAAGAATGTGAGCTTTTACTCTGAGTGAGATGAGGAGCCCCCCAGGGGCTAAGAGGGAGCAATGTCATGATCCATGATCGGGCTGAGTTTCAGGGGATCTTCGGGGCTCCTGACGTGGGGGAGGGTGGTCACAAAAATCCAACCAGAGATGGAGAACAATCGGAGGAACGGGGAAGAGGGAGACAATGAGATAAGGGCAGAACTGCTTTCCCTCTTGTAGCAAACACGTGAGGACACTGTGAGGTGCTGGTCAGGATGATAAAGATGAGACACAGATTGTGCCTTCGCGGGAAACGCCCACGAGGAGATCAGACGTAAGCAGAGATCACTGTGACACACAGGAGTAAACAATGAACCGAGGGCAAGTCCCCGTCTTGGTGGACAGAGTGGCAGAGTGGAGGCAGCTGGCATTTCAGCGTGGCTGCCCAGGCACAGGCTAGGTCCCCGCACAGCGACCAGCGTGTCTGCCCCCTAATGACGGGGCAGTTTCTGTGTGCAGACATGTAGGCACAAGGACACGCAAGCAAACGCGGTGACATGAGCAAAGCCCCAGCTACACGGAGAGTTACAGTGGAATTTGGTGGAAGCAAATGAGAATGGCGGGAGAGGAAGCTCAAGCCGGGCAGCGGAGCTCGGTCACAGCTGGTGGAGGTACCGCGACTGTCCTTGCCGTAAGGAACGCAGGGGCTCCGCACACTTTCAGCAGGGCTGGGAGGACACTGTGCTGGGCAGAGGAGTGGGCCAGCCACCGCAGCTGTTTGGGGTAACCGAGCATTCGGTGGAGGGAGTCTAGTGACCCGTGTGGACGATACTGTAAAAACCTAGGCAGGAGGTGATGAGGGCCCCCAGCAGGTTGTCGGCACTTGGTCCCTTCACCACGAGCACTTCCACTGCACTGAGTATCTGTGGATGTGATTTATTTGTGCAGTAATTATTGCACCTGCCTATCTCCTTTCCTCACTAGAACCATCAGTGCCGGTGCAGGGCACGCCATCAGCCCCCAGTGTTCCTCGTTTTCCTTCTTACAGTAATGAAGCACCTGAGGCTCCAGCTGGACGCACAGCTGACAGTCAGCGACCACACGTCTCAGCCTGCCCTGGCGCTGGACAGGGCGGTAAGACCGGGGACCACACGTCTCAGCCTGCCCTGGAGCTGGACAGGGCGGTAAGACCGGGGACCACACGTCTCAGCCTGCCCTGGAGCTGGACAGGGCGGTAAGACCGGGGACCACACGTCTCAGCCTGCCCTGGAGCTGGACAGGGCGGTAAGACCGAGTTTGGCAGTGGGCGTGAGCCGAGGGGACGGCATCCCTTCTAAGGAAGCTGCTTGCTGTCCATTCCTGCCTGTCTCTGCTCGCAGGTGTCTCCTCCCCTTTTCTCGCCACCTACGTGACGCAGGTGTTGGAGATGATGCCCTTTTGGGACTACATATCTTTCTTAGGCCTTTTCCCGATGGAATGGGGGTGGGGGCCAGGAGTTGCCGCAAGGATCTGTCTTTCATAGGCTTTTGCAAAAAGAGAAAATCTGGGCCTGTGACTAAATTCTGTCCAGTGGGATGTGAGGGAAAGTGCGGCACAGTGTCGGGGTCATGTCCTTAAAAGGAAGTTCTCTTCCTCCTCTCGTCTCCTTCCTGAGGGTGGGGATTTCACCCTGGTGGTGGTGAGCCCACCTTGGCCCAGGGTGTCCTCCTATAGGATACAAAGCAAGAACATACAACATTCCTATGTCCCTGGCCCTATCTCGTGGGGAAGCAGGACCCAACCTCCCTGGATTATGTACAGATGTGGACACTTGTATGTGAGAGAAGCAACTTCCATCTCAGTTAAGCTATCATTATTTGGTCTCTGTTCACGACAGCCAAATCAGTTCCTTACTATATAATTTATAAATATTGGCCATCACAACCATGTGTTGAATGAATGTGATTACAAGCATAAAAGTTTCTATGTAAGTAAACAAATAATATTTTCCCATTCCACTGAGCTTTGAGCATAGAACATTTATAGTATATGAAAGAGGAAAAGAGTAATACAAAGCTTCAATTGCAGTCAACTTCTCTATCATAGCCTTGGGCCCGTACCCTAATTGGCTTTATCATTAGGTTGATGGGAACAGCGAGCATCTGTTGGCCTGTTGCCAGCACACAGTGAGCTGCTGGTTTCTCGTTCCGGGCTGTATGCGCCACCACCAAGGCCTTGAGAGGGAAGAGGGGCTCTAAAATCTCCGCATTCTGAATTTCATATACTCTTTTCAAGTAAACATGATAATAACCTGAGTTTGGATCTTGTTATCTGCTGTGGGATGCGTGTCGTGGCCTGTTTCCATGGAGCATGCAACAACAGCTTCAGGGGAGTCTAGGGACTACTCACTCCTGAAAAACCACCTCTGGCTCGGGGGTCTAAAACATTTACGTCCACGTTTATTACTGCTTTGGAAATAAGTTGGCGTCTTCGTATATAAAGTAGGACTTTCAATAAGGGTGTCTGCTCGCACAGCTCATCGGATCAAATGTGTTTATGATCAAGTCTGTGTACTTATGTTCCTGAAGGACTCTCAAAAACCACAAGCGCCACAGAGAACTCCTCAGGGTCCTGCGTGTCTTTTGTGGAAAAGGACCGGGATGGTGACTGATGGAGGTGGCAAGTGCTGGGAACAGGGAGCGGGGGACAAGCCCTAACACTAGAAAAATGGTTTGGGAGTTGGCTTTTAGAACAAGAGGTTGTAATTAAGAAAAGCTGGAGAGAGGCATATTACTTTCTGGATAAAAATAAATGTCAAATAAGAGGGGCATTTTGACTTGATAATGCCAAAAGGTCTATACTCTGTACTGTTGAAAGCAGAAACGTTGAAATGCAAACACTGGATGTGAAAGAAAAAAGGTTTTGTTTCCTACACCACTGAAATTAGTTTGTATAAACAGTACTGCCCACCTTTCTTGTACCAAGACTTTGTTGGTGGTGGTGGCGGTGGTTTGCCGTGGAGTAGTAAGTACAGGGGCTTTGTTTTGCTGATCCTAAATTCCTAGAATTGTGTTTAACAAGTAATTAGCTTAACTTAAAAAAAAAAAAAGGTTGTTGATTAAATGAATAAATGATTGGCTGAATCATGTTTGCAACTATGAATTATGATTTCCACTAAATAAAGTGAAAACAGTTACCCATCACGTTTTGAAGATCCCAGTAGAAAAATAGATTACACAAAGAGATTTTCCTTAAAAATATGAAAATAAGATAATTTATCTTAATAAGGTTTTTATAAAGAAGGCTGATTCATATCAGTTTTGTTGTTGTTGTTGTCTGTCTTGAAAGCATACTTATTATGTTTGGCAATACTGAAATATTTGATTTTCCAGAACTGACTTTAGTGTAAGGCCTTTAAAATAATTAACATGATTCTGAACATAGGTTTAGAAAAAGAGAGAAAGAATCTGACCAATTTTTTAACATCTGTGAAAAATATGTAACATTGAAAAGTCACTATGATAATCATTAGCTTGAACAGTCATGGTATTTGGTATTGTTGATCAGTAGTCATCTTGGCTCCCGTGACCACCCATTAATATGAAAAACATGCAAAAGGACTGAAGCTACAACTCGGAGGAGTTTTCATCTATTTTCAATAAATTTAACTATTGTAAACCAACTGACATGCATTCCAATGACCAGGATATCAATTATGTAGTAACATGGAGATCTAGTCTAGGGGGCAAATAGGTAAACAGTTTCATTCATGTTTTCATGAGGAATGTGGTTTCAGAATAGGTATTAGTTTCACAACATTTATGTAAAACAAATAATGTGACACTGGAAAGCGATACTATTCATTAACATAGGGTTGCTATGCAGTAAGTCAGATCCTCCCAGAGTATAAATTATACAAATTTGAAAGTGCCGTTTATTATTTAATATCTCATTCCCAGACAGGTGCTTACTCAGTAGCAAAATCTGGTTTAGCATACCAAATTTAAAGCTATTCAACAGATAGGAAGGCTTTTGAAAAAAACCTATCATGCATGTAGCTAAACCAAGTGTTCCTTTTCTCCTGGACAGTGTTGGAATTATTTTAACTACCATATATAATAAAAGTGAAATATGAATGGTATTACTAGCCAGAGATACTTGAACTGAAGCTTGAATTTTAAAAAAAAATTGTCATTTAAAAGATGTATCTGCAAATAGACATAGTAAGTTGCCTTTCAGTATTCTATCAGGCTGATACCATTTTCTCAGAAACAGTGTCGTTAGAGTAAATGCTAAGATATCCTGACATTTCCTAGGTTGAATCGATGGAGTTTCTTATTGTAGATTATTTAATGGGTTTATAGTCCCAGTTCATAAGCACATGTCAAATATGGAAAAGAGTTTAAGATTTCTAAGAACTCACCTACTTGCTACAAGGCTTTCTGCCCAGTGGGCCAGTTTAGGAATAGCAAAGGGGATCTTTTTCCTTCATAGATAGCTTAAGAGTAATTTTGGGTGGTCTAGAAAACAAGAGTTATTAGGAATGTGCTTATAAATGCACATAATATATCACTTGCTCAAGATCCTTTCTAACAACCTAGCCTGGATCTCTACAATGTTGGATGCCTCCAGCTACTGCCTGAGTAATTGCCATTCTTGGCAAAGACCACCCAGGACACAGGCTCGGAATCCATGCTAGGGCCGGCCAACCTCTGTAACCTGGTGTCTGCTGGTTTGCAGCGAGTGCATTCAATACAGGAAGATCACTTACGACTGAGTTTTTCATCATGGCTTTGACTGTGAAGCCCTCAGAAACCAGGGAGTGAGGCTGGTGCACCGGGAGCGGCTGTTGTGCCAGCAGCTTGGTCCTCCTCTTCGGCATCTTGTCTGAGCATTTGTTTAAGCCCAGGGTCTCTTTTTCTGCCACCATCTTCCTAGAAATGTCTTGTTCTCATAAAACGTGTAGCACAAGAATCAGTGGGTTTTACGGATGTGAGAAGGAGGTCGAGGGCAAAAATGTAAAAGGCGCGTTAGTGGTAGAAATTGCAGTGCCCAGGTTGATCCAGATGTTTGGCAGCTCCTAGGTGAATGGAGTTGAGGGGAGGGGGGCTGGGAGGAGGGCAGGACCTTTGCTGGAAAGACAACGAGCTTCCTAATGTCAGCCTCCTGGTTGCTAAGCGACGCGTCAACACTGCGGGTAAATGGCCCCACCCCCGGTGACGTACATTTCCTGGGCCTTAACCCGGAAGAGCGGCGGGCAGGGAGGAGAAACGATGCCCTAAAACTACGACTCCCAGAAGGCCGCGGGCTGCTCGCAGTGTGCGCATGCGTACTCCGACGGCGGGCGGGGGGAGGGGAGTTCTGGCGGATTAAACTCCGGAGCGCACAGCTGGTGGGAGGCGCCGGTGGGCGCCGCTGTGCGCAGAGGTCCCCTTCTTGTCCAGCAGTTTGCACCTGCCCAGTGACCATGATCGGTACGTGGTGCCTGTCAGGTACAGGCTCTCTGCGCCGCCCTGCGCCGCCCTGCGCCCAGCTGTGGCGCCACGCCGGTCCTCGGACGACGGGGATCCCAGGGTGCCCCCCAGCCCCCGGTACCAACTGTCAGTGGCAGCGCGGCGGGGTCCGCGCCCCCTGAGCCCGCGCCGCCGGCCGCCGGTGCCCGCCGCGCTGCGGGAGAGTGTGTGTTGCTGGAGCCCCCGCCCAGCCCTGGCCTGACAGGTGCGCCCCGCGCGGGGAGCCGGCCGCCTGACCTGGGGCTCCGTGTCTCCCAGCGGAGCAGACAGACCCTGCGGTCTAGACCGCTGTCTGCGGCACCCTTGGAGGGAGCCCTCGCAGAGCGTTCACCCCAAAGGAAGGAACCTGGTGGGATGGCTGGAACCCTAAGAAATTCACACTTGTTCCCTGGAATATCTCCTATTAAATCTCCCGTGGGCGGTCTGACATGACGTGAGAAGTAAGAGTAAATAATAACAAGAGTTAACACCTTTTGCCTATTGAATGAACCTAACGTATTTATTATGAAAAAATTAGTAAACACAAATGACCCAGGTGCATTGTTGTGAATAAAGCTTTGGAAGTGGCTGTTAGAATTGTTTATAAACACTGAAATACGAGTGTATAATATTAGCCAAGTTCCTCTATTCAGGGATTGTGAAACCAAAGGTTATTGTAGGGTTTATCTCCCCAAATTAGTGGAAATGCATGGTATGATGAGAAAGCTTTGCTTCCCAGTGCTAGCCATGGTTTACTAGGGGAGTTTGGGGAGTTTATAATGACAGAGACTTGCTCTAGAATGTGTATCGGTTTGGTGAGTTTATTTGGGGATTATTCCCAGTGAGCGCAATATATGTAACACGTTTGATTGCAACAAGTGCGTCTTAAGTCAGATGTAGTCGATCCAGAAAGATGAGAGGTGGATTTTTAGAAAGGGTACGTTTGTGTGCACTGATAAGCTCTTCTTGTCTTTTATTTATTAAATTAATTTAAAAATGTAAAACCTTCTACCCAACCGTGGGAGAATCAGGCCAGGTAACTGAGGCTGTCTTTGAAGTAATGGTAAAACCTAAGGATGTTGTCCAGTTTTTCTTCGGTTTCTAGCCTGGTGTGATTTTTGGAAGTTATCAAATTAAGAAAAGTGTATAAAACGTTTTGAAACTTTTGGGTTTTTAGGTGAGAATTAAATAATATCTACTTGTAAACACAAATTTGGACTGAATCAGAAAACCAAGTTGAAAAATTGCTCAAAAATCATGCTGTCAGAATTTTAAAGGAAAAAAAGCCTTATTTTGAAGATGATTGTGCAAGTGTGATTTTAATTCAACTTAATCTAGTGCATGGCTAATTTTAAAAGAAAATAATTTATGGTGAAACTATATAACAACAGGGTCATAAGATCTAAAAATTGTCTCTTAATTCCAAATTAGTATCTAATAACATTATATAAATAGCTGTTAGGATGAGATATGGTTAGGCAGTTTAGTTTAGTTTTATGATTTGGGATTTAAGGAAGAGTACAGTCTTGGGATGTGATGATTAGACAGTTATCAGTAACTGGTAATGACATGAAGAATATAAGGTGGATTTTAAAAAGTATTCTCTTCATACTCCAGCTATTGTTTTAAATAATGTAAATAAGTGTATGTCACAACATAACTAATTAAATCCATGCCTCATCCTAAGAAAAGTACCTTACATATAACGACCATGAGGACAATGTGTAATAAATTATTTTATATATCTAGGTGCATTGCCTATGTCTATCGATAGGCACATTTAAATAAAAATCTTAATGGCCATTTGGGGTTGGTTATGTTGTATAGTGGTAACAGTGGGTGGAAATGGGAGCAGTCGGAGGGGAAGCTTAGAGTGAGGGGTTCCTGTGTCTGTGACTGAACTTTTGAGCTGGGATAGGCATTACAGTTTATACCCAGTGGTGAGCTGGAGATAAAAATATACATAACTATGTACCTGGAGATTGTTTTTTCTTTTTTCTGTTTAAAGATGTGTGCTACTCAGAACTTGCCCATTTCATGTCTGTGCTCTCCTTCATTGCTACGACCTCTTTAATGCAAACAGTACTCTTCCACTTTCTTTAAATCTTAGCTCACTTTTGAGGAAAAACAAGAAATGTTTTTTTTGCCCTGGCTGATGTGACTCAGTTGGTTGGGCATCATCCTGTGCACCAAAAGGTCACTGGTTCGATGTGCACCAAAAGGTCACTGGTTCGATTTCAGGTCAGGGCACATGCCCAGATTTGGGGCTTAATCCCCAGTAGGGGGCGTGCAGGAGGCAGCCAATCTATGTTTCTCTCTCACATGGATGTTTCTCTCTCCCTCTCCCTTCCTCTTTCTCTAAAAAAAATGTCTATTAGAAAAAAAAGAAAAGAAATGGGTTTTTTGGTAGAACAGGAGTAAAGTATTACCTCTCTGCCAATGCAATTCACCTTGGCTCTGAAACTGTTTCAAAAGGACTTACATTTCTCACTTGGATAATGATTGATATGTTAAGTGCTCTAACCTAGAGAGCTACAGAAACACAATTTAATTCAAGTCAGTGACAAATCATGACTTTGTGAGAAGTATGGAGAAGGACTTCAAGGTAATATAAGCAGAATGGAAAAAAAAACTCAAGAAAATTCAACTTAGAAAAATGTAATTTTGGCACCTCTGTTTTTTTTTTTTTTTTTTTTTTTTTTTAATTTGACCCCCTTTACCTTTTACTTCCCCCTACCCCCCTTTCCACTGTTGTCTGTGTCCATGAGGTTTTGTTTGTTTGTTTTTCTTGTTTGTTCATTTGTGCTTTCACTTTTATATTCCACATGAGTGAAATCATATGGTTCTTGACCTTTTTTTTTCTGACTTATTTCGCTTAGCATGATATTCTCAAGATCCATTCATGTTGTCATAAATGGCAGTATTTTATCTTTTCTTGTGGCTGAGTAGTATTCCACTGCATATATGCATCGTGTCTTCTCTCTCCAGTCATCTGCTGAGCGACGTTTCCGTTGTTTCCATTTCAGTTGTCTTGGCCACCGTGAATACTGCTGCAATGAACATGTGAGTGCACGTGTCTTTGCGAATACATGTTTTCACAGTTTTCTGGTAGATACCCAGAAGAGGGATTCTGAGTGATATGGTAACTTTATTCTTCATTTTTTGAGGGAGCTTCGTACTGTTTTCCTTAGTGGCTGCACCAGTTTTTGTTCTCACCAGCAGTGAATGAGGGTTCCCTTTTCCCTACAACCTCTCCAACACTTGTAATTACTTGCCTTGTTGATAAGAGTCATTCTAACAGGTGAAGCTAGTGAAGTTGAGAGTCTTTTCATGTATCTGTTGGCCATTTGTATGCCTTCTTGGGAAAAGTGTCCGATCAGGTCATCTGCCCATTTTTTAGCTGAATTTTTTATTACTTTGTTGTTGAGTTGTATGAGTTCTTTATATATTTTGGTTAACTCCTTATTGGAGATGTTTGAAAACATCGCCCATTTCAGTTGGTTGGCACTTCTATTAAAACTATATCTAACCCTTTTTAAAATTCTTTGTGTTTAAAATTGAATTTTTGTAGCAATATTTATGGTATATTCTAAATGCTCTGTAGATCTGAATTTAGGTATTTGAGTAGTATCAGATATTAAAGTGCAATGTTGCCAGTACTGAAATTCAAATTCAATGTCTTATTCTGTAAAAAGATTTTTTATTTAAAATAATACAATATCTGGAACATAGTGTTTTCTGTACCTTGTTTAACTTAACAGTTCTTGGGAGACTTACCTATCTGCATGTTCAGATCTACCCCATGATAATTCCCGCCCAGTCTTTCATTTTATGGATGTACATAAATTATGCAAATGATCTCCAATAAATGAACCTTCAGAAAGTTTACAGACAATTGCTATCATCAGGAATGTTTGTGTCTATATCATTTTATTTGCATATATTAGCATATATGTAAAGTAAAAACCTTATTACAATTTCTGGGTAGGTTTTCTAGAGAAGCCTTTGCAGATTTTGAATTTTGCAAAGTATTTCCAAATTGTCCTAAAATAAATCACACTAGTCTATAGGCCTGTGTATCACAATAAGGTAGTACGCAGCAGCCCCGCCCCTCGGGGCTGAGAGATTGCAGAAAGACATCCTCCCCAGAGTACCTTCGAGGCTTCCTCTGTCTCCTGCACACCGTCCCACCCTCAAGGCCAGTGCCTTTAGCAGTGAGCGGTGCACAGCTGTCCTCGGGGGCTCTGAGCTGTGTGACAGTGTTTGCAAACTGCCCGTTTCCCCTGTGTCCTATGGAATCTTTTCATTTTTGCCTTCTGATAGATGACGGTGTATTTAAATTTGTAACATGAATGTATGAGGGAAAAACCTCTCACTTCTCATTTTATAATGCATTACATTCATGAAAGCAGACCAACCATTGAGCACCCACCAGGTGCCCGGTACCGCTCTCGGCGCCAGGGATACACGAGTGAAAAACAACTGCGTGAAACGCGCCTGCCAGCGTGCATGGGCAGTCTGGCTCCGCTGTTTGCCCACAAATCTGCATATTTGTGAAAAGATTGTATGTGGTGAATTTTAAACTCTCAGAATTTATAGTTCTAGTTGAACATACCGTGTTCTGCTACTTGCTCTGCTGTTTCAGTAATTTTGGATGAAGGAGGGCCCTACACCTAAGTACCCATGGTGGGCTCTCAGGCCTCTATTTATGATGAGGTAGACCATATCACACAAGAAATTCTACTACATTTTTGCATAGAAGATTTTGCATAATTATGTGCAGTCCTTTGAGTCCAAAGGCTCTAAAATAATGACCTTGTGCCCTTTTCAATTTTGGAAGTATTACTAAAGGTTTTTTTGAAGTCTGCATTTTTTTTTGAAACCTCATAGCTTCATTGCTTGGAAATGAGACAATGAAAGTACTTTGTACTAAGATACGCAAATCCATTTCTACCTCCAAAGCTCCTTTGAAAAACGCAAAA